TGAATAATATTTGTAATAAAGAGAGGGAGGTGACAGACTGCTCCCAGCTCTATTTCTGACATTCCCAGCTCCTCTCTCTCTCTCCAGTTTATTTTTATATAGATAGATACAAAATATAATGTAATAATATTCCTTGCATTTGATACGGGACCTTATCACGTCTTCGAGGCAGTCTGAAGTGCTTCAGAGAATGTACTGTAAAGTGAATTGACTATATTTTGTGAGCGTAGGTAAATATACATATGTTAAAAAACAAATTGCAGATATTTTTACACGACGATAATGATTAGTGAATTGCAATTGGCAGTTTGGCACTCCAAACAAATCCCCAGAGTCCAGAAATCCCAAATCTAGGAAGACCATATTCCCTTTCTAGGAATCCCAAATCCCACACCCCAAAAATCCCAATAGGAACTCTCTCTCTCTCTCTCTCTCTCTCTCTCTCAATCCCTCCGCCTTGCCCCCTTCCTGCCCCATTTTCAGATCACCTCCAAAGATCTTCCTCTTCGATCGTACCCGCAGTTACCTCTCCCCTCTCACCAGCTCAAGGTCAGGCTCCGTCACTGCTTCCCTGGGTGAAAGGCTCCCTAGTTGTTGTTGTTGTATTACGCAATTAGAAGTAATGTACCTTTAACAGACGTGCACATATGAAATATTTCCACAGAACAATAAGGGGAAAGGGGGCTCGATCCCCACTGGCACAGAAACGTCCTAATACACTGTCAGATCATCGCGTAACCCTTTTAATAAAGTAAGTTCTGGTTCCCAGAAAGTTAGGGGTCAAAGCAAGGTTACAATTCAGCGTTGGAAAGTAATTTGCATTGATTTCCACCATGTTACAGGGAACGAATAATCTAATATGTCACATGCGTCTCTCTCTCTGCCTTTATAAATGACTCCAGTGCCAGGCAATGCCACGTTCTCTGAGAAGGTCACCCCATAACCTTCTCCCGGAAGACCATTATCCAGCTCCTCGTGTTGGCTCATTGAGTAAACAATAATAATAATAATCCTTGCAATTGATGTAGCGCCTTATCACGTCTCCAAGCGCTTCACAGAATATACTGCAAAGTGGATTGGCTGTGTATTTTGTGGGCGAAATGCGGGAGCCAATTGCACACAGCAATATCGTGGATTGCGTGACCATATTTTTTGTTTTCTATTACGGAGGGATGATTACTCCCGGAAAGCGATTTGATAATTGATGAACAACTGGGTTCCGACTTACTCCTGGGTAAACAGAGGCGTGTGTGTGGAGTATGCAAACTTCCCTCACGGTTTCGTCCTGACCGGGAATCAAACCCAGGTCTTCTCGCTCGCTCTAACCACTACGCTACAGGATTGCACTTATGGAAACAGATCTGCAGACACACACGTCTCGTTTCTTAATACCCCGCTGCCATGTTTTCAACTGTGTTGTATTTTCATTGGAATGTTTCTACACTGGGAAATTGGCTGTAATTATTGCTTGTTTATGCTAATGGACTTCTTCCCAAGACCCCTGGAGTTTTTCAGGCACCGCTCACCAGCCTCCTACACACAATGAGAGCAGAGACGGAGAGAGACAGAGTGTGAAAGAAGCGAGAGGAGAGAGAAGGAGTGCGAGAGAAGGAGAAGGAGTGAGAGTGGGCCAGAGAGAAAGCCAGGGATCGTGTAAGACTGAGAAAATGAAAGAGATGCAAAAGAGAGTAAATGAATGTGGAAGAGATTGACATATAATAACGACGACAACAAATTACATTTGTAGAGCGCCTTTCACGTCGGGAGGACGTCCCAAGGCGCTGACAATATACTCACGTAGTGAGAGATAGATAGAGAAAGATTCACACAGAGAGAGAAAGTAAGAGAAAGATGAGAGAGGGAAGGAGGAAGAAAGAGAGGGACTTGAGGGGAGGTGTAAGTTCCTTCCCCTCCTCCCCACCACCCCATGTCCTCCCTGGAAACTCTAACGTATACTGGGGTTCACCCTCTGTAACTCCTCTTTTTTTTCTTGCGGAAACCCGGTTTCCAAATTAGCGATGAATATAATAGTTTTCCCAATTTCTCCACTGTTCTCTATTTATGATTGAAATGGTTTTAAGGCTGAGACCAGGTAGAATTTCGAGTCTCAGGTGTGACCCTGGGCAGTGCCTCTACCCACTGCGCCACTAGGGGGCGCTGTAAGATGGTTATAAATAGATGAGGTGTACTATTTGTGACACAAGGGATTGGTGTAAGATATTATGCCCCAAAGTCCTTGGACAAGGAAGGGGTTGGGGACAGGGGCTAATTTTCCTTCCCTCCCCAACCCCCATGGAACAGAAACACCTCGAGACAAAGAAAACAACGATTGTGTTTTCTATCCCTCTTTTTAAATTATTTTTATTTGCATTGAATGTCGAACACGAGCTTCCAATTTTGGTAACAGCATAAAATTGCTTTCAAATATTAGGAAACAAACAAACTCCTCCAACTATGACTATTCTGTGACAGTGATTGTGTTGTGCCCTGGACTTTATACAGGGCCTTATAACAACAAATTACATTTGTATAGCGCCTTTCACGTGGGAAGACATCCCAAACTGCTGAAGCGAAAAAATATTCCCATTCTCATTCAAATGTTTCCCAAAACGAAATATCTTGGAGCTCTTCACACAGTGAGTTACTTTGAAGTGTAGTGACTGAGGTTTTAAGTGGTCAGACAGACAGTGAATCAGCAGTATCATCATCCCCATGAAGTCAATGATCAACTAGTCAGACTGCTACTTGGGGAGTAAAGGGGATTAAGGGATATGGAGAGAGACGGGGAAATTAAATTAAAAGATTTGGTCGGATCTTATAGAATGCCAGGACAGGCTCAAGGGGCTGAAGGGGCTACTCCTCTTCCTATACGAGCCTCCCTCTCAAATCTAGCATTGTCACGAAGTATTTAGTCTTCTCCGTTTGGAGATTGGATATTGAACCAGGAACGGAATAGGATTAAAACGCTAATATGAATACAATTGAACTATAACACTGAGCTGCACAGACCCAGATGTTGCGGTTTTGACTCCGTCTCCAGGTCTGTGCTCGGTTAGCTGATGGCAGCTGGTGTTTGGCTGGGTCGTGGGGGGTCTTGGTGAGGGTGATGGTGGGGGGAAATACTATCTTTAGCCTCAGTAATCCATAGCCTTGTTGCCTAGGATCGCACATGGAGACCTGGGGGCCAGGTGCTGTTGGAAACATGGAGCATATGAGTCAGCGCCTTTAGGAGTGAAGAGGAACTCGCTCTCTCACATCAATGGTGGATCAGTCAGTAACAAGCTATTGTTGACAGTGTAGGGCAGTGCTTCTTTGTTGGATGTGAGATTCAGGATCCCATGAAACTATTTGAGAAGAGAAGAGACTTTCTTCCAATGTCCTGGCCAAAAATTGTCCAAGATAAGCTCGAACGTTCAGCCCTCGGCTGTATGTTTTGCACAAACAAGCAAATGAACAGTCACTACACTTGACTGCAATTAGTTGCAAGCACTTTCTGACATTATATAAGTGCCGGAGCAATGGCGAGGATTGTTCATTGCGGTCTGAGGAACACAAAGTGATGCCCCTTTAAGATAACACGCTTCCCCGTTGAAACAAAGGGCTTTTCTTTTCCACAGTGACTGCAGGAGCCAAATAACTCTGAAAAAAAGTGACTTTATGTAATCTGAGCGCAATATACAATTGCTTAAAGGGGCCGTTGATTTTCGTAACTTGATTGGCGCTGGGCAAATCTTTTTCCCCCAGCTTTTTTGGGGGGCGGTGGGGTGTGGCGGAGTGAGACAGATGACACAGAAACATCCACAGTTACTAACTATCACAGCGACCTGTTTTATTTTGCTGGCAAGTCAATCATTCACACATATATATTAAAAAAAACAAAGAAAAAATACCAGAAACGTGAATAAAAAGCGATAAAATGCCAAAACTTTCCCCTAATTGTCTGATAGGCAATGGGACAGCCCAAAGCTTCGGACATTCCCCCGGTGGAGGGTTGAAGGACAAATGTCTAAAATGAGATAACTGGGGCAACAGTTCGGGGTTACAGTCATTCTCACTGACCCCTGGTTAGTGAAGGGAACTATCCCACCCCTGATCCAGAGACCCCCCACCGCCCACCACCACCCCACCACCCTCTCGCTCTCGTCCCACTGAAAAGTGGATGTATGGGTGGTTTGTTGAATAAGGTTAGTAGTGGGATGGAGTGTGACACTCCCCCTCCCCCTCCCCCTTGAAGATTTACTCATGAGTAACAGTCACTTGGGTGAGGTGCTCAGAGGATGCCCTGGGAGAGGATACTAGTGGAAAGAAAAAGGAATCTATTTGCATTCATCATAATCCTTGACACTTGGTACAGTGCCTAAAGCATCAAGTGTCACTTGAGAAATTTACTGCAAACTGTAGTGACTGTGTATTCTTAGGCAATTTGCACACAGCAACAAACGGTCGTGGATTGAGCGACCAAAATAATCAGGTTCCCACTTACTGCTGGATAAACAGAGGCGTGTGGAGTAAAGAAACTCGCCTAAGGTTATAAATATAATAATAATCCTTGCATTGGATCCTAAGGTTTCTCACCGCCCGGGAATCGAAGTCGGGTCCTCTCGCTTGCGAACTGTGAGGCGAGCGCACCAACCGCCGCGCCACGGCCGCTCCACGTAACGTTAACAGCTCGCGGAACGCAGCCTCGTCAAATAACGAGGCTATTCTTTTTGTCACGGGTGGGCGGGGGTGGGTGGGTGGGGGGGGCGGTGGGGGGGGTGCGGGAGAGCAAATCGGTCGGCTGCGGCGCGGGCGGCCGAGTGTGCCTTTAAGAAAAACCGGTTTGCCCCATCCATCGGCAGGGGGAGCCAAAGGGATCTACAGGAGCGAAGGCTCCTCTGTGGAGCCTCCAGCTCAGACGGTTTCAAGTCTCCCCCTCCACCACCACCACCATCCCACCCACCCCCCCCACCCCCCCTCCCATTCCCCCCATTCCCTCCCCTCCTTCGGAAAATGTGGCTGTGTTTGTGCCCAATGGTCGGGGAGCTTTGCACAGAGGTAGCTATGGAGATGGAGATTGCCTGGCTCCTGCTCTTGAAGGTTTGACAGGTGTGTGCTCAGCCAGAGACAGAGACCACGGTATGTACACCAAAGGGAAAGGATGTACTGTTCCCTCGGACAGTCAGGCAAGAGAGAAGTAAGTGATGGCTTCAACACCACACACCACAACACCCAGAGACACACACACAGGGACACAGGGGACAGGGGGGACAGGGGGAGAAGGAGGGGGGGGGGGGGAAGGGGGAAAAAAAAGAAAGGAAGGAAGGAGGGAAGGAGAGAGGGAGAGAGGGAGAGAGGGAAAGGGGGGCAGAGACCCAGCAGTAGAAATAGAAAGGGGATACATGTGGAATTGGGAGAGTTGGATAAGGGGGGATTTCACTCTTCGAGAGGTGCCTTTCTCTGGGTGTGTTTTGGGGGGGGGGGGGGTTGGTGGGGTGGAGGGGTTGGGGTTGGTTGGTGGTGGTGGGGTGGGGTGGGAGGGGGTGAGGGGGAAGTTTTTTTCCCCCATTTTTTTCATTTTTTTTTACCCCCCCCCAAAAAAAATATATATGTTTGTTGAGCTGTTTGAATTATTTTTTTTTGGGGGTGTGGGGGGTGGGGGGGGTGAAAGGTAAGGGAAAATCTTTGAGGGGGGAGAGAGGGGGGGAGAGGACAGGGAAAGAAAGTATCTCTCTGGCTCTGGTTATTGAGTGTGAGATGGATACAAACGCTTTTGTTATTGTTAATGCTGATTATTTTTGGGGGATACAATGTTTTTTTGCCTGAAATCGCTTCTTTTAGCAATATTTTACCCCCCCCCCCCCCCCGCTTTGATCTGAGTGCTCAAGAGAGAGAAAGAGAGAGAGAGAGAGAAACATTAGAAGGATACACATCACAATATTAGAAGTCCAGTTTCTAAACACTAAATAATAGAAGTCGAGCAGTTTATTTATTTATTCCCACTCCCCCCCCACACACTCCCCCACCATTGCTTTTCTGTTGCAGGAGATTTTCCTGTTTGTTTGTGTTCTTCAAGGATGTTTTTTTTTAAAAAACAATTTTAATTAGAATTTATTTCTCTCTCTCTCTGTGTGTGTGTGTGTGTGTGTGTGTGTCTCCTTCCTCCACACACCCTCTCACACACACACACACACACACACACTCACAAAGTTCTTACTTTTTTGTGTGTGTTGTTGTCACTGCGTATTCTTGACTTCTTTTTTTCTCTCTTTCTATCCCTCTCTCCCGCGCTCTCTCTCTCTTTCTTATTCCCCCTTTCTTTTTTTCCACAGATTAGCCTTGTACGTTTATGAATACTTACTTCATGTGGGGGCACAGAAATCGGCTCAGACTTTCTTATCCGAGGTATGTATGTGTGTGCGCGCGTGCGTTTTTGTGTTTTATTTCAATTTTGTTTTTATTTGGGTTTTATTGTGGTTTAATTCAACATTGTTCCGAAATGTGGCATTATTTCGCCTCTCCTTCTCGCTCAAGCGACCGATTCTATTTCCCCTTGTTGTTTGGTGAATATTTTTCCCCCCTCCCCGCAAAAATAAGACATAGTCACTCCACTTTACGGTGTGTCCCGTGAAGCGCTTTGAGCCGCCTCGAAGGCGTGATGAGGCGCTGTATGAAATGCAAGGGATTACTATTGTTTTTTTTGCAGATTCGGTGGGAAAAGAACATAACGTTAGGTGAACCGCCAGGATTCTTACACTCGTGGTGGTGGTGAGTGTTTATTTTCACGTGGAAATTATCTTTCTCCCTCTATTCTTTTGATTTATATATATATATATCATATATATCATATAAAACCCAACGTTTGATGTTTGCCAGAAGGAGATCCGATTCTTGAACAAAGGAAATCTGACTCCAGATGGTGTGAGGCAATGTCATCCCCTTTGAAAGCCAGTGAGCTGGGGTGATGGCTTTCTCTCTCTCTCTCTCTCTCTCTCTCGCTCCCTTCCTCTCTCTCTCTCTCTCTACACGTTTCCAAAATATGCAGAGATAGATAGACTCCTGCTCTCTCTTCGACACCCCCCCCCTCCCCCCACCCCCAACCCTCACCCTCTCTCTCTAGTTCTTGAAGCAACTTCGGACTTATTCAAAAGTGGCAGATTTTCGATTTCCTCCCCAAGAACAAAACGAGCGATTATTTTATATTAAAAAATTCTCCGGCCAGCCCCCCGCTGGCTGGCTGGCTGGCTGGTTTGGGAAATGTTGCTGGGTTGGTGTGAAACTGCCGTGAAACTGAGCCACACTGAGCTGTAAAGGTCCCAGGCTCCATCCCCCGCCCGGTCTGTTTGTTGCTGTTAGTTGATCCCAACCTGGTTAGGAGTGAGTTGGGGGTGGGATTACACTGGCCTCAGTGCACCTGGCTGGGGTATGTGTGCCTGAGTGTGTGTGTGCGTTGGCGGTGGAGTGGGGGAGGGAATCAAGGTAGCATTGATGCTTTTTTTGGGGGGGCGGGGAATAGATATGGTATTCTTTAAGAGTGTCAGAATCAAGTCAGCCCTCTGTGACGCTCTCTAGTCCGGTTCCTGAGCCCGGCCGGCCCGCAGTATTCCAGGGCACTCACTGCTGATGACAGCACAGCCCGGCCCGGCTCATCAGCAGGACTTGGAAGGGCCGACCAGTCACTGGGGGCAGGGAATCATCCCAACTCAGTTCCTGTTAACCCCGCAGCCACTAACGGGTAGGGTGGTCCTAGCTGGACAAGCAGCGGGAAAGCTTGCCAGACAGTGATATCAATGGCAAACTATGTGGTGTTAGTTGGTTAGACTCCAGCACTTACCCCCAATGCACACTCTGGGCTCCTCCAAGCTTTGGCTCTTGCCAACTTGCACCTAATGCTTTATGGAATTAGCTAAACCAGGAGGCATCCCTCCAGGGAGAGAGAGAGAGAGAGAGAGTGAGAGAGAGAGCGCATTCCATTCCAACAATTTATCTCTGGAATTTCCATGTGTAGGTGGGATGCAGGGAATTCTCAGTTTGGTTTGGAGACTCTTAAGCAACGGTGATGGGTTTCCGCATGTGTCAGACACCCACCCGGCTGACCAAAACAAAATTCAAATAATATTGAGCAACGTGTTTTGGGAAGGATGAATGAACCTCCCAAGTGATGGCTCTGTGAGTCTTTCACCACCCGCTACCTTCCACCCACCTCCCCCCCCCCCCCCACCCACCCCCCCCCCCCACACACACACACACACACACACACATTGAGCCTTGCTTGGGCATCCCCAACCCAGGGTAGACAGCAGGAGTGACACACTGCTCTGATTAGAAAGTGGGCCAAAACTTTGTCGTCTGGGTCTCTTGGGAGGGAAGGAATGTCAGGATTTCAGGCTGTGGTTAGGGATTCCCTGGCTGAGCGAATGAACATGTGGGGTGGGTTGGCCGGGGGTGGGAGGTGGAGAGAGCCTAGACTGGGTGCTGAGATGGATGGCCAGAGTTGAATCTGGGTTGGAACTGTGTGGAGCTATGAACATGTGTTTCAGCCCGACTCAGTGGTAACCCTCTCGCCTGTGAGTCAGAAGGTTGTGGGTTCAAGCCCCACATCAGGACTTGGAATCACATCATCTGAGATGATGGACAAATGCACTGCTGGGGTGCACTGCATTGGCAACAGATGCTGTCCTTTGGATGAGATGTTAAACTAAGGTCCTCTCTGCCTGTTCAGGTGGATGTTAAAGATCTCATGGCACTATTCAAAAAGAGAAGAGTTTCTCTCTCCTGGTGTCCTGGTCAACGAATCCCTAAAATAAAATTGGTCACTCGCTCCGTAGCTGTTTGTGGGACACTGCTGTGCGCAAACCAGCTGCCGAGTTTCACCCACAAAATACACTGTCACTGCATTTTACGGTATAACCTATGAAACAGTTTGAGATGATGTGAAAAGGCGCCGCATCAAATGCAAGGATTATTATTTTGTGAGGTACATTGCACGTGTGAGTGTGAGTGTGGGCGGGCGAGCGAGTGAGTGTGTTTCGGGGTGGTCTGCAATTGCAGTGTTGATGATATAAAGCGTGACATCCGACTCTTGTTGTTTCCCGCAGCGTGTTCTGGGATCTGTACTGTGCTGCTCCAGACCGACGCGACACCTGTGACCACTCGAGCGAGGCTAAAGCGTTCCACGATTACGTGAGTTTCATGCAAAAAAATTTGCTCCCGTTCTGGGAAAGCCTGACGGGAATATTCCTGCCTTGGGATGGAGGTTGCATTTCCCATTCTCCCAGTGGCGCGGACAGAGATGCGATCTTTTTGGAGCTGATCGTGGGAAAGCTTCATGACTTGATGCTGGGGTAGGGGGGGGGGGGGTGTTGGTGAGGGGTTGTGAGGCAGGGAACTGATTGCCTTTGTTGTGGGGGGGTGGTAGGGGGAGCTGAGGTGGGGGGGAAATGGCTGCTGTTCCCAAAGTGTACCCATTGTTTCTGAGGCCGAGGGGATATTGCTGGCGTTGTTGTATTTCAGTCACAGGCTGAACCTTCTCTGCTCTGTTGGTTGGTGCTTCCCATTAACCAGGTCAAAATGGTTGGACATCAACTGTGGGTGGGAGGTGCGAAAGGATTAGCGACTAAAGATTCCTGGACATGTTGCAGGTGATTCTCTGGATGTCCGCTCAGAGCTGATCGCAGTCCCATTTTCCGGAGTTCCATATATCCTAACACGTTCCCCCCATTTTGCCGGGATGTTTGAGACTTGCTGATTGCTAATCCTTTCGAACCCCCACGGTATCGCAACTGAGATCCCAAGTGTGGGCAAGGATGGAAATTGCGCCTATTTCTGTTGCTGCTGTTGTTGTTGTTGTTGTCGTGTCAACTTGTCAAGTTCCGGCTGTGGAAATGGAGGTTTGTGGTGTTCAGACCTGTTGAGAGGTCTCCAGTCTTCTCTTACTGTGCATCTCTCTGTACAGAGTCGCTCGCTTGCTGTTGTGTATTGAAGCTGTATATATAATGAAGTTCGCCATTGCCTTGTACTGCTCTGCGCCTGACCTGGGAGTACTTCACACTGGGTGCAAGAGTCTGAACACATTTCACTCCCTGGGTGGACACCCAATTCATTGAGTACAAGAAGGTTGTGGGTTCAAACCCGACGACAGTAGGTTGAGCTCATAGTCCCGGCTTTGTTGCTCTTCTCAACATCATTTGTTTGAGACGGGCTGTTGTGGGGTGGATTCTCATGTCCTGCGACAGGACTTATGAGGCTGTGAGTTCAAAGCCCAAGTCGGGACTTTGAACATCCACCTGAATAAAAAGGACTTTTTTTTGTGTTTGGGAAGTCCTCGTGACGGTGCAAAGCACTACACAAATGTCATTTGTTGTTGTTGCTTGGAGATGCTGTATGACTGACTGTGAAGTCCCTGACAGGTGGCCCTGGAATAAGTCTGTGAACTCAGAGAAGCTTCATTCATCTCGTGCGATGTTTTGTGAAGCCTGCTCTCCCTCAGAGAATTGGAGAGCTCAGTCACAACAAATTGCTTCCCTCTCACTATACTTACCTCCGCATGTTGAGCGATCAGCCTAGCCTTTTGAAGTCACTGCCTAGTGTACATAATATGTACATGGTACAGACTAGGATGGTCACGGGTTTGGAATCCACGCCAGTCCTGAGTTACCTGATCTCACACAAGGCTGGTGTTGGGGTTCCAATTAGCCTCATTCATCCCTGGTTCAAGGGAGGAGGTAAGAGAGCAAGTACATGTACCTTATCATGTCAAACCAACTCAAAGCACTTAATAGGGACTTAATATCTTATCAGACAGGTGTCATCTGCAACCCTGCAACACACACCGTGCTGGAGTATCATCTTCAGATGAGATCTTAAACCAAAGTCCCATTGTTGGATATTCAATAGGACTTTTTCAGTGCCTTGAATATCTATTAGGAGTTGAACTCATCTCTTAAACCGGAGGAGAGAATGATATCAACTGAGCTGTAGCGACTGCCATCCAAGCAAGTTCCTGTTCTTGGTCACAGTGCTGCAACTTCTTGGAATGATTTCATGTGAGTGTACGTGTGTGTGTGTGTGTGTGTGTGTGTCGGTGTGCACATGCGCAAAATATTTGGTCACTCAATCCACGACTGTTTGTGGGAAACTGCTGTGCGCAATTGGCCGCTGTGTTTCCCCACAAAATACACAGTCACTCCACTTTACAATATACTCTGTGAAGCTCTTTGAGATGTCTCAATAATAATACTAATCCTTGCATGTGATATAGCGCCTTATCACGTCTTCGAGACGTCTCAAAGTGCTTCACAGAATATACTGTAAAGTGAATTGACTGTATATTCTATGGGCGAAATGCGGCAGCCAATTGTGCACAGCAGCGTCCCCACAAGCACTCATGGATTGGGTGACCAAATTATTATTATTATATATTTTTTTGAAGCGATTATTATCCCCGGGAAAGTGATCCGTCAATCGACCAGGTTCCTACTTACTGCTTGGTAAACAAAGGCGTGTGGAGTAAGGTAACTTGCCCAACGTTTCGCCCTGCCCGGTAATTGAACCCAGGTCCTCTCGCTTGTGAGAGTGCTCTAACCATTAAGCTACAGGACTCCACAATGTGATGAGGCGCTATATTAAATGCAAGGATTATTATTAGTGTGTGTATGTGTGTGTAAAAAAAGTCTCTCCCTGTATTTTTTCGTGTTGATCTTAAACAAATATTCCCTAGTTGCCAACGAGTGGAAACAGCTTCACCCTATTTGCCTTATCGAAACCCCAAATAATTTTGATTACCTCTTTTACCAGCACTCCCTCCTCACAATCTTCTGTCTCATAAACAAGCAGTGAAATTCCTCTGCTCCCAAGTTATTTTCTTCCCCTTTCTCTCCCCCCCCCCCCACCCCCACCATCCCCCCACCACCCCTTTCTCTCAGTTTGCCTGGGAGTGAAACTTATCTTACGGTTTGACTGTGAGCAAATGCACAGGCTGAGCTGATCGAACCATTTACCTCCTGTTAGGGAGATGGAACTATTTTGTACAGGGGTAGGAGGGGGTGGGTGGGGGGTGGTGGTGTGGTGGGAAGTTACTGTGCCTCACGTTTAAGCCAACGCACGTTGGGATTCTCGTGCCTCAGTGACATCCTTTTAGACTCCGCGGCTCTGAGGTGGAAGCCGTAACTCTCGGTGGTAAATGTGTAATTGTTAAAAGGGGATTTGGGGCCTCTCTCGCTCTCTCTCTCTCTCTCTCTCTATGCCTCTCCTCCCTTCCCCCGAGTTATCCAGAACACACTGTGCCCTGGAGGAGGTGCTGAGAAGATTTTGACCAAGGATTAATGATGTGTTCGCTTGGCCTCTGACCCGAGAGTTGGGCTTCAGGCAGCAGATGGAAGGATTGTTATTAATGAGGGAGCCTGTGAATGCATTGCTCGGGCTGGCTGTAGAGTGGGAGCATTTGGGAACCTCACACCATCACTCCAGCTCTTAAGAGTTTTGTGCAAAATAATCCTCTAAAAATGTAACCAAAGTAATTAATCAATATTGTGTAGAGAAACGAGAGGGTTTCTTTTATGTACACTCCCAATTTTTCCTCCCATCAGTTTTTTTTCCCTCTGGTCTATATCTCGTCTGAAGGCGCTGACTCCTTGCTGGGGAGAGGGTTTCACAGGCGCCTTGTCTTGTCTTAAGCGCCTTCCTATCTTCCTTCAGGGTGAAAAAAAAACCTTGACATTTAGTAACGGGTTCTGTTAAACCGTGGAAATGAAATCCATTTATAGATCGGATTCAGGTCTGAACAATCTCCCTTCTCCCCTCCCCCCCCCCACCCACATGAGAATCGTTTGCTCCAAAAGCTGCCATCTTGAATATGGACTATGTGCCATGACAGTGATCTGTGACTGATTTGAGTTAAGCCGGGTTCTCCTGTGTCCTCCGCACTCGGAGCGCAGCCATTGGGCAGATGGGAGGTCAGATCACCTTTCCAGGTCTATCGTCAAACTATCTCAAAAAGTTTACAGTCAATCCACTTTACGGTATATTCTGTGAAGCGCTTTTGAGACGTCTCGAAGGTCAGACGCTGTATGAAACGCAAGGATTATTATTATTAAATCCCGGGTGTCGCAATGGTGTTCGGGGGTTTAGGGTGAGAAAATGTCAGGGGAATCCCCAACCCAATCTCTTTGTAACATGGGGTGATCCTGTAATATTAATGGTCCTTAAGTACTTATCCAATTCCCTTTGGGAATGCTGCTGTGGATGTGTTTGTGCTGAAACAACCCTAGTATTCTAACCACCAAAATTCCCAAACTTCCTACTTTGTCTCTGCTGTGGATCCTCAATGAATGTCCTCTTGTTGCCTACTCGCTGGAATTGGTGGCTCACTGATTTAGCCGCTTACCGGAGCCCAAATGCAAGGCAGACATGCAGTCACACTGGGTTCCTCTCAACCCCAACGCAAGCCAGATGTGCAGCTGCAGCCAGCTCCACTCAAAGCTCCAATGCAAGCCAGATGTGGAGTCGCACTAGGCTTCTCTCGGAGCGCCGATGCAAGGCAGACGTGCAGTCCCAGAGGACTCGTTGGGAGTTCCTCTGCTCTGTTCAGTAAGTGTAGCCAATCTGAGCATCTGTCTGGATTTCCCCGGTTGGTGTGAGAGGAGAGGAGGCGGACTGAAAGAGATTGGCCTTTTCTTCCTGATCGTTCTTTCTTTCTTTCCAATTTTCTCGCTACTCTTCGCCTCCCCCCCCTCCCTGACCCCTATCCTGGGGCCATGGGGACAGCCCCACAGTGGCGAGTCACGCTCTGTCTGAGACATCACCCAGGCGAGGTTAAGCGTTGACAGACTGTTTGACATGTAGACATTTGTAGAGTCCTGTAGCTCAGTGGCGAGGGCACTCGCCTCGCAAGCGAGAGGGCCTGGGTTCAATTCCCGGGCAGGGCAAAACCTTAGGCAAGTTTTCTTACTCCACACGCCTCTGTTTACCCAGCAGTAAGTAGGAACCCGGTTGTTAGTCGATTGGGGGATCGTTTTCCCTTCAAAAAAAATTGTTCGCTCAATCCACGACTGTTTGTGGGACGCTGCTGTATGCAATTGGCTGCCGCGTTTTGCCCACAAAATATACAGCCAATTCACTTTACAGTATGTTCTGTGAAGCGCTTTCAGACCTATCGAAGGCGCTGTATCAAACTCAAGGCTTAT